GTGAACCGGGGCCGCAATCGAGAGATCACAGACTGGCATGAAGACGAACCGAGACAGGTGCATCTTAGAGAGTTGGCCATATAAATTTGCAGAATCTGGCCCAGCATTCAGTGCATAGAGGTGGGCACGTATTCACGCTCAACCATTGGAGCTAGTTTGGCCAATGGAGACATGTCTACACAAGGGTGCAGCCCACATGCATAACGTACCTGACGACCCGGGAAGCGGAATGCCCGTATTTTCCAAGCAAAAGCTCGGCAGAAAGCATGATGTGCGCGCGATGTCCGCAAGAAGTCGCAGCAGAGCCGCCTTGATTTCCTTGTGGATAAGTATGTAGGTAGTTAGATAAATAGATGGATAGGTACAGAGCCGAACAGACAGATAGCTACGGAGGTAGATGGATCGATAGATCGATAGATAGGTAGGTAGGTAGGTAGGTAGGTAGGTAGATAGGTGGATAGGTAGGTAGGTAGATAGATAGATTGATTGATTGATTGCTAGACTGACAGATACATAGTATGTATACAGAAAGAAAAGACAGAGAGCTCGATCGATCAAAGAAAGGTAGATCTGCATACCCGAGATACCCACATGCACGCAACGTTTGCTACCCTAAACCCGAAACCCTAAACCTTCATCCCTAAACCCTAAGCCCCTAAACCCTAAACCTAAACCCCTAAACCTTCAACCCTAAACCCTAAACCCTAAACCCCTAAACCCCTAAACCCTAAACCCTTCTCCCTAAACCCCTAAACTGCGTCAATCCCGAAGCCAGGCCTGCACTGAGGGCCCCATCATCCTCAGGTCCTGCATTCGAGTGTCCGAAGTTAAGCGGTTTTGGGGCTTCAGGGGCTTGGGGGTTTAGGGGTTTAGGGTTTAGGGTTTAGGGATTTAGGGTTTAGGGTTTAGGGGTTTAGCGCTTTAGGGCTTTAGGGGTCACAGAAAGGAATCCTATCGATCATTTTGGGTTTAGGGCTTCTGAATCCCAAAGATCCCAGAAAGGAGTCCTATCGGTTATTTAGGCTCCAAAGCTACCGTGTCTCCTGTCGCGGATCTGCTGGTAGCCTCTGGCGCCTTCACAGAAACCGTGGCGGCCAAAAGGCCAGGGACTCCAGGGTACAGGGTCACAGGGCTTAGGGTTTCTGGCTTCGGGCTCCGTTCAGGGGAAACTTGGAGAGAAGGGAATCAGGGTCGGAGGGAGGGATCCAGGCGCGGCCCCTGAGAAGATAGGGGGCAGCATCCCAGTTCTGAGGTTGGAACCGAGAAGTGACTTTAGGTTCGAAAGCAGCGCTGCCTGAGAGCCTCATTAAAGAAACGCTGGGGAGTGGGGGGGGGATCAGGCGGCACCTTTTTGCGGGTTCGGCCGTGCGCAATCGCAAACAGTTTGAGGATCCTATGTTACCATTAGCACTTAACCCTGAACCCTAAACCCCCAACACCCGGGACCCAGCATGCTCAACCGACTAAGCCCTACCCCCCTACACCCTAAGGCCCTAAGGCCCTAAGCACTACGCAAAGGCACATTGTGAGTTTGAGGTCATGGCAGCACTTCAGCTGCTCTAAGCTCCTCGCCTGAGTGATCCTAAACCCTAGACTCTAGACCACTAAACCCTAAATCCTAAACCCTAGACTCCCAAACCCTAAACCCTAGACCCTAGACCCCAAGCCATCCAAACCCCCAAGCTGAAACTCGACGATCCACCCCAAAGCCTAAGCCTTCAATCCTCAGCCCTAACCCGTTTAGAACCCTGATATATATATATAATATGTATATATATATATACTTATATATATATATATATCTCTCTCTCTCTCTCTCTCTCTATTTAGCCCGTGAGAACCCTAGACCCTAAACCCTAAACCCCTAAACACTAAACCCCTAAAGCCCTAAAACCCCTAAACCCAAAACCCCCAAAGCCCTAAACCCCTAAACCCAAAACCCCAAAAGCCCCAAAGACCCTAAACCCCAAACCCCCAAAAGCCCTAAACCCAAAACCCCCTAAGCCCCAAACCCCTAAACCCCCAAGCCCCTGAAGCCCCAAAGCCCCTAAACCCCTAAACCCCCAAAACCCCTAAAACCGCTAAACCCCTAAAACCCCTAAAACCCCTAAAGCCCCTAAAACCCCCAAAAGCCCAAACCCCGAAGCCCCTAAATCCTCTCTTCGGGAAGACCGGACCTCCTGTGTCCTCGGACCTCCAGACCCAGCTGGGTTATTGAGGAGTTTTAGGGGGGTTTAGGGGTTTAGGGGCATGGGGGTTTAGGGGTTTTAGGGGTTTTAGGGGGTTTAGGGTTCTGGGGCATAGGGGTTTAAGGGTTTAGGGATTTAGGGGTTTAGGGGTTTAGGAGTTCAGGGTTTAGGGTGTAGGGCGTAGGGTTTCGGGTAGAGGGTCTGGGGCCTCCAGGGTTCCGAAACGTGGGCCCAGGATCCGACATAGTCCCATAGGATGCAAACTTCACGACATATTCTGGGAGTTAGGATTAAGGGTTTATAGGGTTCAGGGTTTAGGGTCTGGGGTCTGGGGTTTAGGGTTTAGGGGTTCAGGGTTCAGGGTCTGGGGTTTAGGGTTTAGGGGTTTAGGATTCAGGGTTTAGGGTCTGGGGTTTAGAGATTAGGGCTGTAGGGTTCAGGGTTTAGGGATTAGGGGGCCCTTGGGGATATAGACCCTCTCAATAAGGTCCCTTTTACGAGAGCCAGATGTAGGGTTTAGAAGGGTCCCCTCTAAGGGGTCTCCCGAATACCACCTAGGATATTCCGACCCAGACGATAAAATGAGGCCTGTGGCAGAGGGAGGGTTGTTGGATTGGGGTGTCGGGGTTGGGGTTACGGGTTGGGGCTGTTCATGATTTACTAGGTGTCAGCTGTTTTGGGTCAGTTCATGTTGGGCTTTACGGGTTGGATGTTGGAGTGAACGGTCCTGGAGAAGGACACTGCATGGGTTCTCCAAGCGCAAACTTTTGCACTTTCAGCTAGCAGCATACTTCGTTTAGACTAGCACACATACAACGAAAGCTCGCAAAGCCACCAATGCTTGAGTGGCCTCGCCCGACAGTCACGGTTTTCAGGTTGGCTTTCGGTGACGCCGGCAAGTAGTATCTTATGATATGACTCAAAATATGACTGCTGACCAGAACAAGGTGGACATCTGAAACCAGGTGCTGCGTACGCATGGTGCAAGCATGGTCAGTTTTGCATCCTGCGCAACTTTCAGCCCTTCTGCGGCAGTTACCGACACTGAGAACTCGATGCCAAAGCTCCCGCGAAATGGCGCCATGACTTCTGACAAATTTGACGACACAACTGCCCGACTCGAGACGACTGAGTGTTGCAACCCAGAAAAACCAAGCAGAAGAGCAACAACGCACATGTGAATAATCAAGTGCCAACCTCATGAGCCCCACGAAGAACCTCCCAAAGACGCACACCAATAAACAAAGAGCATATCAAGCAGCAACAACATCTGCCTTCTGCCAGAACCCGATCTTGGGTATACCAGGTGTAGAGCCTCATAACAGCCAAGGCGCTTAGGCCTGAGGGACTTGAGCTCGGGACTTGAGGTAGGCTTGAGTGTCTTATTACTTCGGGCTTCGCCAACAACCAAACACTACCTGTGGTCTCCATTGTAGTTTCTTTTTGGGGTTACCTTTTGGTATCCTTAATATAGAATTGGTTACACCAAAAAGAAAACTACAATGGAGACTATAGGTAAGTCTTAAACCCTAAGCCGTTTCATGCTTGCTCCATCCTAAAGCCTGAACTGAATTAGGCACCTTGAGGCTTCAGGGCGTGTCTTCTTCGCTGAGTACCCTAGCCCAGAAAAAAGGTTAACCTTTTGAATTATGGTACGGTTTAGGGTTGAGGGTTTAGGGTTTAGGGTTTAGGGAGGGTTAAAGGTTACCTACTCAGGCCCCTAGATCTTATGCTTGATTCATGTTCGAGCTGTCGTCAAGCACCTAGAAATTTCGTTTTGAGGGGACTGTGTTTGCATTCCAGATGGGTTAGGAACCACAACCGCCATGGAGAGGACTTCGGGGAACCATTTACGAAAGGTTTTCGTGGGTCGTCTAGGTCCGGTATAGGGCTCAGCTTGCTTCGACTGCGCCCGCAATTTTGCTTGGACGCTAAACCCTAATCCCTAAACCCCAAAGCTCAAAACCCGAAAACCCTAAACCCTAAACCCCAAAGCTCAAAACCCGACAACCATGAACCCCGAGCCTCACATGCCCAAAACTCCTAAAACAACAAAACCTGCAAGCCCCAAGTCGCTGGACGTACCATCACAAACCTCCCTAAACCCTAAATCCCTAAACCCCAAGCCTCCCTAAACCTAAACCCTAAAACCCTCGACCCTTCCCCCAAGCCTGCCTAAACCTAAACCCTAAGCCCGCCGACTGTCAAGTGTCCAGGGTTTCGGCTTTAGGTTTACGGCTTATACGGTTTAGGATTTGGGGTTTAGGGTTCAGGGTTTGGGGTTTAGGGTTCAAGCTTTGGGGTTTAGGGTTTGGGATCACATCTTGCTATGCCCGTGTCCAGAGACGGAAACATCTCCCGCACGTCACGCCTCTTTTCACACTGTGCAGGGTGCCAGACTACCCATAGGCTCCATAGTAGTTCCTTTTTGGGGTTTATATTTAGGATCCTATAAGGTAATTCCAAAAAGGAGCTGCTTTGGAGCCTATGGGTACATGCCAGTAGAGTTGGAGGGCGGCCGAAGAAAGCCAGAACCAGCCGCCTCTCTGTCGTCCAAGCTGCCCCGGAGGCAACAGCCCCTGAATGAAACCTAAGATCATCATATGACGCCCCAAATAATCTGAGGCATATTCCGAAATTAATTAAGGAGTCTAGTAAAGGAGCCAGTCGGGAAGTGCAGCTTTTAAGAAATCTCTGTTTGGAAAACAGCGCTGAGGAGTAACGGACTCGGCTCTTTAAATGAGGCACGATGAAAACGGCCCAAAGCGGGACGCATGCATAACGCGTAACTAACTTAGATTATTCGGCCCGTCATGGTGAGATCGAATTGCATTGCTCCACAAGCTGAGGAGCAGAAGGACGACGACCAGCGGATCTTGCTGTGCCTTACATGCCCAAGTTCCGACGGACAAAATGAACTTCGGATGGCAAAATTAAAGCTCTAAGTAAATCTTAGTCGGTGCTACTAAGATTGTGGCACACAAAGACATGTCGAAGGCTACTGATCTAACCACGAAGATGCAGAGCTCAAAGATCCGGCGAACCTCATGAGGTAGCTCTGGTGGTAATTCGAGGCAGCCTCCTGCTCCAACGAAGGCAATGATTTGCGGTGCCAGCATTCCTGCATAAGGCACCTTTCCCAGGACTGCTTGGTAGAGGAGGATCCCCATGGCGTAGATGTCTGCTTTCACGCTTAGGCGCCCGTCCTCATATTCCAGGAGTTCGGGCGGCATGTGCGAAACGGTCCCCAGCTGTGCGGTCATCAGCGAGGTGACACCCTGCTCCAAGACCCGTGCCAAACCAAAGTCACAAAGCTTGCAAACAAACTCTATCTCCCCTGCTTGGTCCAGCGCACGCGTCTGCAGGAGAACATTGTTGGACGTGAGATCGCCATGGATGATGCCTTTGGAGTGCAGATAGCAGCAGGCCTTCGCCACATCCGACATAATGCATCTGACGTATCTCAGGCCACACGCATCCCAACGAGGGATGGTGCAGAAACTACCAAGCGTGCCTTTGTCGCACCATTCCTGGAGTATCCAAACTTGCATGCCGCAGCCTGGATCTGCGGGGTCCGCCGAGTGCTGAAGGAAACGGAAGGTCTGGACGAGGTTGTCGTGGGAGAGCTTCTGGCAAAGATTAGCCTCTCTGATTGGGTCGACTCGATGCCCTGTCTGCAAAGCCATTACCTTGGCAGCCATGCGCTGGCCGCCCCAATTGCAGCAGTAGACTCTCCCAAAAGAACCTTCACTGACATAATGTAGAATCTCCAAATTCTCCGGAACGTTGTCAGGCAGATCAAACTTGCTCACTTTCAATGGCGAGCCTGTTGTGCGTGAGCCAGAAGATTTTCGATTGCTTGTGTCGCTTGATAGCGCAGATGGAAGTTTGTCGAGCGGAATTCGCAAAGCAGGCGCAAAATCTTCCAGCGTTTTCAATGCAGCCTCTCCAGCGAGGTCTCTGGCCACTAGCCACATCACGGAGACGCACAATACCGCCACTGACACCATGATCGCCGCCCATTGGCGGCCTTCCACCAGCGAGTTAGAAGATTCAGCCCGAAGCATGTAGCACGCAAAGACTCCACCCACGTGGAAGACAAGGTGCTCTCGCACATGAGTCTTAACAAGCACGATGCCGCTGAGGGTCTGGTATACAGTCGAAATGGCCGTACCGATAGCCCATGAGTCGAAGTCTGAGCACCAGTGCAATGACACTGTGAACATGCCGAAGGAGTTCAGCAAGAGAAAAACCCGAAGCAGGCTGTGTGTCTTCTTGCCGGGCGCGAGGAAAGGGATTGAGAGCCCAAGGATGGTATTCATCAAGGCGTTGATGCGAAAACATACATCCCAGTTAAAGGTTGCACAAGGGAAGCCGAGCAAAACGAAGACAAAAGATGAGCCACCTGCCAGCCGAAGTAGCCACACTGCATAGAGCCCATGGCTCTCCATGCCGGCTTTTAAATGTGGAGCCAAAGGCTCAGCACCTCATGGGGCGTATTGCACAACACTAATATGGACGATGCTTTATGATACGACATAGCAGTGCTTCTGTGATCTTATCAGATGGTGCTTTGTGAACACCCCCTCTCTTGACCTTGGGTGGCTTTCGCGGCAGACGGCGTCCACTGTCGGATCCCCAGGACAAGCTCTGAGGCACAAGGCCTCATCTAGAGTAGCCGTATGTAGGTATTAGTAGTAGTAGTAGTAGTA